ACATATATATATATATGAACGCGCAGAGGGCACAATACATATATACGTATCATCATCACGACCGCAAAAGCTGCAGGGAGAGTGCACGTACACCTACTCACACATCCTCCTTCTCCTTCCCCCGCACACGTATATATATACATATAATCCTTATCCTGCTCTTCCTCTTTATTCTTATAGGTATATATACCGTGCAAGAGACGATCGTTTCTCAAGAGGATAACGTTCGGGTGTATCATTGCCTCTCCCCTTGCACCCCGGCTCCACTTGTATAAGTGCAATGTACATAACATTTTTCTACATATATACGTGGATTTATATACATACACCCGTACACGGAGATCTCGCGTTGCGATTTGCTTGTCGTCGTCGACGCGTAAAGCCCCCCCCCCCGCCTATATCATATACAGTATTTACATTGTAGAAATCGCACCTCAAAAGAGCAAGGTGTAAGTGTATGTATACCTTCGCGCACAAACAATAATGTCGGTAGCGTATAAGAATAATTGTACAAATTGTACAGAGAGTTACAGCTGAGATGGAAAGATTCAAGTAACAAATGATAGTGAGAAAAAAAGATGCGCAACGGTATGTAATCGTTGGCGCCTAGTTTTTGTATACGTACCGATTTATTGAGTTTTTTTTTTTTTTTTTCTTTTTTTTAGGTCAAGAATAAACCACACGTGTCTTTGTACTACGTGCACGCTGTGCCTATATATTATAATGTGTACCTATATATTATACCTGTAGACATGCAAAAGTGTATACATATCTGAGATCGCAAAGGTCCGATCGCACGACTTTCTATATCGGGGAGGGAAGGGGACGACCGATCGACTGTGTCCGGCACGCCGATTTTCCCACGCCGCCGACCCTGACATTACTATACTTGTGTATACGTATATATGTACCTTGCACGCGTGAGATAAGCGTCCGTGTCGGATACGTGCATTGCCGATCGGAGAAATTGCACGGGCATATGTAAGTAAATAGATGAGAGAAATCTGATGCTGCTGCTGGTCCTAAGATGGGGTACGCGAGAGACAGTTTTGCTCGGATGCGTGATCTCATTCATCCTCTTTTTTTTTCTTTTTTTTTTTTTTTTTTTTTAACATATACTTCACACCGAAAATCATGTTTTTTTTTTCATCGATGCGAGAAAGCTGTTTTGTGCGTCTAGACTTTCTGCTATTCAGGCTTTTGAAAGTAATTTTTTTTTTTTTTACGCAAACGATGATTTGCGGTATATTGAATAAAGAAACGCCGATTTCGTATCAAGTAAATCGGTAAGCTACGCGATTTTTAATGCGTTCGCCGATGACACGCACTTTTGTATAAATATTGACAAAAAACTCGAATATGTAAGCATACAGGGAAAAAAAAAAAGAATTAAAAACACCCACGTATGTGCACGCTTGCCGTGTTCTGTTATATACTTTACGCGTTAAAGCGCAGGATTACAATGCAGCTGGTCGCTGCTATCGTGACGCAGGATCCGGCGACGCCTGAATTTATGGTAATGTAGACTTATGCAAAACATTGTATACGAAATACGTTGGGGGAGGGGATTTTTTTCATTTTTTTTTCTTTCTCCCAATATGTTAACAGAAACGTCAGAGGCAATGATCAGTAGCCAAAGTGAATTAAAAAACGAGGAACATCGAGAGAGAGAGAGAGTTTAGTACTGTTTCATGCAAATTGCGCGTAGCACGGTAGCCACGATCATCAAATTGTTTGTCTTCTTTTTTTTTTCCAACAGCAGTAAATACGTTTTTGTCAACACCAGTCAAATTATTTCTTTTTTCTTTTTTTAATCACAATTGTCACTAAATCGTCACTTTTTTAAGATGTTTGCAGAAGAAATTTTAAAATTTAGTACTTACAAGCCGAGAAAAATAAAAATTGCGTATACACCGTGTAGGTTTCGGTGGATTATAATAAGTACGTATACTGGAAATTCGACACCAAAAAAAAGAACCATAATCTCACCTCGTCCCACGCGAACCCCATCAGGTGCGCGTCGTCCTGAAGAATTCATACAACACGAGCCATGCACCTTCACTTTTTATCATCTCATGCCGTCAACCCCTTAGTCTCGAAAAAAAAAAAAAAAAAAAAAAACACCACCTCAAAATCGGCAATTGGCACAACCTTTCGTCCTTTCACGCACCTTGCACAGGGTGTACGGATATATACCGATCAGTCACTTTTTTCATGAAAAAAAAAGGAAAATAACAGTGAAATAAAAGTCCCAATGGTAAAATTAAAAAACCAATCAGTAAAAATAAAAAGGGGAAAAAAAAACAAACAATACACGGTCAAGGCGCTAGCTTATGCTCATCGCGACGTCTGACGCGAGACTAAAGGTACACGGCGCACCACCACCTGGCCGTACACTACCGATATCGCGCTCTCCCCGCAGGTACACAGTGCTCCAACTCTTTCCACCATATATAATACCTATATATACCTGATGCCGCCGAGAGTAGCCGCTCGCCGCCACCGCTCTCTTCCTTTCTTTCTCCTCTCTCATCCCCCTGTACACACCGTGTGTGCCTTTATTTTCTGGGTCTACACTTGCGTCTTGCATGCAAAATTCATGATTGGTTTATTGGTTGTCTGGTAAATTTTAATCGTCAATTTTTTTTTTTTTTTTTTTTATTTCACGAACACAAAGACTTGCCGATTTTCCTATCTCGATCTCATCAGATTCGCCGTTATTACCACGTACTTGATGCATTAATTACACTGTAATTTTTACGCGCCACAATTTTACATGATTTTCCCACAGTTGTGATGCCTAATTATGCGTGTCCAAGGCACAGCACACCTGCAGATACTTTTGATGCAATAATTTCCACGCCATCTATTAAGTAACGGTGCACCTTACCAGGGGGAAAAAAAGTAAATGATCGTTAGCATAAAAAAACAAATATACATAAAATCGTGATGAATATCGGTAAAAAAAGAAAAATGGGAAGAAAAAGTTAACAAAGTCGATGCTTCGAGCGAGTGAAAACCCTCGTCCGCGTTCCCGATCGTCATCAATATATCGTCACGTCGGGCACCCGGTTGAATTTCAAAGCCCCGGGGCGCAACAATAAAACGGACGCGCTTCGATATCGAAGAAGTATAAGTACTCGGCAGTGCGATCGTTGCACTCGAAAAGCCGTACTTGCGTATAAATAAATACATATATGTATATATATACACCCCGCAATCTCTCGACGCTGTAAAATATATACTTATACTTACCGATCGTCATGACCCACAGCGCGATACACTGCAACAACTGATGCATACGGAGGCGCTCGCTCGTATTTTAATCAAGTTATTATACATACACGCTACTTTCGGTGCACCTATATTATACCATCGCCATTCGTTGTATAAATTACACCGTACGTACGTATTAGGCATAATAATACGAAGCAAAGAGAGAGAGAGAGAGTTCGGGTCGCGCTTCGTACCTATATACACACGGAGCTTTAATTTTCGGTCAGCCTTGAATCGCCCGAGGACTACTTAACCATAAAAATGTGTACGTATTATATGTTGTTCGTATATGTGCAGTCAAAGCATCGGTGTAGGTCAATGGTTTTTTTTTTTTTTTTTTTTTCCTAACGGGTCAAAGAGACCAAGTGAGCTTAAGTATATATAATGTACATTCGAGGTAGGCGCTATCGCGTCAACGTGCAGGTATTACGAGTATGGACTATAATAAGCGTACGTACATACATGGATAAATGTTGGTATTACTTGCGAGTGGCCTACTTTTGTTCGGGAATGTATAATTGCTTCCCCTGCAAGAGGGGGACCGGTTTTTGTTGTCGCTACCACTTCATAATTATACCGTATTGTTTTGCGACGATTTTCGACTCCAAATCGGCATTAGGGCCTATACGCCCATTCGTTACATTCGTTTGTCATACTCACGTGCAAAAAAAGCTTCGTCTTTAATCCTTGTAACTCATATAGTTATCGCTAACTTCATGTGACTCGGTAACAGCTTAACAAGAAGAATCACCCAAAAGCTACGTGGACCCAACCGTTGGACAAAACGTAAGGGGAGTCCCCGTGTCTCCACCATCCAATCCATCGGAGGATTGTGATGACCCAAGACTTGAAACCTCGAGAGCAATTAGACAATGTATCGAAAATATCGCGCAAAACATCTTGTCCGCAAAAATACCACAAAGGTCGCAACATGTTTGCGCTACAGTTGACACTTTTGGTTGCCAGCATAAAGGAGAATGAAGAGACGAGTAAATTAGACGCACAATTGTCGGTCGTCAAATGAGTATACACTTGTGTTCTCATCGAGTGGGGGAAGGGTAAACCTTCGAAATACCGGATGTACAGTGAAACTAAAGTATTGGACATACGTATATATGCACGTACCGCTCAACTTTGCACAACTCTGGGGGAAAGGACTCTCGTTCAAATGCGAAGCTTCGAGTATACGGGGTCAAAAACATATTACAAACTTTCCACAGCTAACGCGCTCCAACAGCACTGCTGGCCCATCGAAAGCAAGTATAGTGTTGTACCAAATAAATTCGCGGACGAGCAAATCGGTTGTGGAATCAAACGTGTAGAAGAGAGCAAACAAGTGTTTCTTGGCCTGTTGGTTGGGAAGGCATCTGCACTCGGGTCGAACGAGCAGACAACTCGGCCTCCTCTTCCGCAGCTGCCCGCTTCCGCACGCGTACTGTTGCACTCTCTCGTCGACCTCGATTCACGATCGGATCATGTATCGTATGTTTTTGCCGCTGCAGAAGCGTTCGTACTGACGTACCTACATACCTTTGGCTATACCTGACCAAGTCTCTCTCTCAATGGCTATACTTGGACAATCGAGGATTGTCCCTTACATTCATAGTAGGACATCCATACATGTTTTAACCAAAGTATACGCATCAATGCGATACGATGTTGGAACAGCGAACCGATCGATCGTCACGGGGAGGGGGGGAAAAAAAAACAAAAAGCAGACTGACCTTTTCATCCTCCCTGGACCGAAGCAGCTTCTCGTTCACCTGGTCCCTCTGACTGACCAGTTTCTCTAGTTTCTCGATCTCTCTGGCTTTGCTCTGTATCTCGTCCATCTGTAAAATCACCCATACATGTTATATGCACATGTAGAAGAATAACGATCTACACGATTAGTTTGCGGATTAATCGACCCCACCCCTTTTTGAAACGAAGATTACGATGTAACAAGCACGTGTACGCGAACCGTATCGTGGATTGCAACTGCGCTCGAGAAAATACACGTAATGCACTTGCACGATTTTCCGCCGATCGGTATGGCTTTTCGTGATTTACGAGCGCCTTACTTGTTACACGTACTCATGTACACCTTGGATCTCGTTGTATCGAAGGTCCAATGATATCGGGGGTCGTTGTGCGCGGCGAATCGAAAAAGCAATCGAGATTATTGGCTATGGGTACAAGTGCACGGAGTTGTATGTGCCCCAGATCGACCGAGTGGGGGGGGGGTAAGGTGATTTTCGCTGTCACGCGGATCGAAAAGTGAAATGGCTCTCGCGGAACGGGGCCGACGGTGTGATAAATCACTTTTGGATTTGGAATGTCCTCGGTGCAGGGGAGGTGGGTGGTTTGGTCGTTTACGATCGTATGGGTATACAGGGAGGTTTACCCCCTATATGTATATGCCAAGGGTCGACCATTTGGAAATTAACTCTATACACAACTTAAGCTATATCATTCTTCACTCGCGTTGATTTTTAAGGTGTGGGTAATTCTTTAATTATTAATTTACGACATGGACCTCCTATCGTTGCCTAAAAATGTCCCCAATCACTTGACGAGCATGTGCAAGGAACACCACGACAACAATAAACTTTGTACTCCCAAGACTGACCCAAACAAGTACACGAACATCTCGAGAGGTAATTTATATAAACTACGCGCTACGCGCCTGTAGACGAAACAAAAAAATTAACGCAAATTCCGCGATGTCTGCGAAATCGATTTCTGGAACATTTATACGTGCAGGTTTTTGCGGGAGTGTGTAACATGTACAACCTATATATAAAGCGCGTGCGATAACTGCAACGAGGAGTAAGGTGGAAGAGGAAGAGCCTGCCTGGCCAAGGTTTCTTGCTCCACTTTTGCACGTGTACCCACGTAACTTCGCTTCGCTTCGCGATTCACGATCGGTATATATATGCTTTGTTTTTTTTTTTTTTTTGTTTTTTTCTTTCTTTTAGGAGCTTCTGAGGCTTATTGTGGGCTCGCTTTCATTGTTTATCGTAGTATCTATTGGCACAACCAGCAACGACAAGCAGAGTATACAGTTAACCATATCTATACTCAACTACACGTCATGCACGTGACGAACAATGCCAAACGAGACAAATCCTCCCACCCAATGGTCCTCCGCAACTAATAATCAAGTGAGAGATTCTAAAATCTGGTTTTTCCTCACCTCGAGACCAAAAACATATAAATGTATATCTTTGGGTGGTTGTACATATGTATATATAAAGAGCGGGCCTTCACCTTCACCTTGGCTTTCTACACCAGACAGCCGGTTTTTCGCGTCTCCACACCACGCCGCCGGTCGAAATTCACTTCTCTTCGGGTGTAATTTACGCTGCAGCCGAAAACCTCGATCGTCGAGTATTATGTGCGCGGTACAGAGAGACAATCGTATCTGGGACGGGCCGACAAGTCGGCTGGGCCGCTGTCGATGGTTTTTCCCCTCCTCGGGGCTTGAACGTGTTACTTTGTAATAAATTGCCTCCTCCTCCTCCTCTATTCCATCAAGATCGGGTTTACTGGTGCATTTGCTCGCGAAATCAGGCGCGTCATCGATGGGAATTTTTCGAAATTTCAAGAATTACCTTGACAAGTAATACATCAAATGAAAAAAAAAAGAAGGATTTCAACAGCAGCGTTTTGTAGGTGAAACAACGAGCGAGAGAAAGTCCTCGGAACCCCAACAACAACCGTTTCGCGCCACTGTGAATAATAGACATTCGCGCAACAATTTTTCATGAAAGGGGGAAAAAAAAAACAAACAATTCTCACACCTTCGAAAAGGCAAACCGCACCTTTTGCACAACTGCAGGTAATCAATAGTATACATGGTGTGGCGGTGAAATTTCGGATGCCAAGCGCATATATACAACACGTACGAGCTTTCCTTATCTCAATCCTGCGGGCATTGAAAATCACGTGTGTGCAAGTTCAAGCGGACCTTTTTTCTCCACGCAAACGCGAAATTTAAATCGTTTACTTTCACTCGTGCACAAAGTACTGTACACCTCGTGCGCATTAAATTTATATACATCAAAAATCGCCGCCGTCGCGCCATCGATACCCGAAAGAGAAAGGGCTTCTGGTGCCCACCCACCCACCAACGTGGCAATTATATAGATCGACGATGTGTGTATATTATATAGTTGTGCTGCAAACTTATACCGAGAGATCAGCCATATAGTTTTCGAGATGAAGTTGGAGAGTTTTACGCGTAGCTGTATGAACGCCGGTTCGCCTATTATGGCTACCATGTAACTTCTCGGGGAAAAATTGTGGGAAATAACAAAGGATGATGGAGTAATGGAAAGTTCCTTTCGGACGTCGGGCCATTTTTTTTTCCATCATTAATAGTTGCGTGCAATTCCTTTGACGTTTGTTTTTTCATCACGTGTGAAAGTGAAATCTTGATCCTTTGGCTGTACGAACTGGAAGGGATGTTTTCGTGAGAGATGTCCTTGTTTGTGTCCTTTGTTATTCGTTGTGCACGAAATTTTTTGATTAATCCATTTGGAGATGGATAAATGCTATCGTAATAAAATATCGTTGTACGTCGAGCTTTAAAAAAAAAAAAAAAAAAAAATGTACGCACCGTTTTCCAAGTATGAGGCTTCGGCCACAGCAGCAGGAAGGGCCAGTAATGCTTCTTTGGTCTCGTAGATCTCCTTAGCCATTCTGGAATCGCGAACATCATCATCTTTGTTCTTGTCATTCATCGCCTCAGCCATTTCGGGAACGCGATCATCATCATCTTTATTCTCCTCATTCATCTCCTCAGCCATTTCGGAAACGCGACCATCATCTTCATTCTTCTCAGCCATTTCCGGAAAGCGATCATCATCATCTTTACTCTCCTCATTCATCTCGTCAGCCATTTCGGGAACGCGACTATCATCTTCATTCTTCTCAGCCATTTCGAAAACGCAACCATCATCTTCATTCTTCTCAGCAATTTCGGGAACGCGATCATCATCATTTTTATTCTCCTCATTCATCTCGTCAGCCATTTCGGGAACGCGATCGTCATCATTATCTTTATTCTCCTCATTCATCTCCTCAGCCATTTCGGAAACGCGACCATCATCTTTATTCTTCTCAGCCATTTCGGGAACGCGATCATCATTATCTTTATTCTCCTCATTCATCTCGTCAGCCATTTCGGAAACGCGACCATCATCTTCATTTTTCTCAGCCATTTCGGAAACGCAATCAAATTCGGATAACTTTGATTCTCGTAAAGACTTATAGAAAGATTTAGAGAATTATATATTGGGAAACTGTTTTGTTTAACAATGTGTATGTGTGTGTATACGCACTCCGTCGTGTACGCGAAGCTCAAAATCGCGCGTGCCTCGCTTGGAAAAACAATAAACTCGGACTCTATAAGTATTCACAGTAGAGTTGCCGACAGTATACAGTACCGNATCAACAATGATTCATTTATTTAAAAAAAAACAAATTTATCATAAGTGAATAAATATTTATTAATACATATGAAAGCTGCTGTGCTAATAGGTACTGATTTCCAAATTTTTGAGAAAAATGGGTACCAAAAGGTATATTTTATCAAATAAATTATTCATTTATTAAATGTATATTATCAAACCAAAAGTAAATAAAAATTTAGATTAGAAATATGTTACGAACTGTAAGATAAATTGAAGTAAACGATTTTTTATTGTTGGGCCTGCTCATAGCAGAGTGGGTAAGGAGCTTACTCTTGCCCAGTGTGCAAAAGAATGGGGGTTCGAATTTCTTTGAAAACTTTTTTTTTTTTTTTTTTCGAAATTTCCCTACATTTCGGGGCCAGTTGGTACAAAAATAAAAATACTATTATTAGCCGGCTCTATTTCAAAAAAAAAAAAACTCGTTCTGATGAATGAGTAATATTTTTACAGTTTAGTTCATGCCGATGAAGATAACTGGATATTTCCCGATGGTTTTCTCATTGGTGCTGCAACATCTGCGTATCAAATAGAAGGAGCTTGGAACACGAGTGGTATCACACAATTATTTCTCGAATTTATGGTTCAATCGGTTAATTCGTACGAATGAAATTATTTGTATTCTAAGATAAAGGGGAAAGTGTTTGGGACCGATTCACGCATGCCGATTCCGGTCGGATCGAAGATGGATCCAATGGAGATGTTGCCGCAGATTCGTTTCACAGATACAAAGAAGACGTACAATTGTTGAAACAATTGGGTGTGAGTGACAATTTCACGTGTCGAATAAACTGTGATCAACAGTTGATCCTAATAATTATGAATCGTTATTGTGTAGGTGGACTTTTATCGATTTTCGTTAAGCTGGACTCGGATATTACCAACAGGATACGCAAACGTCATAAGCAAAGTTGGAATAAAATATTATCACGATTTGTTGGATGAATTGGAGAAAAACGATATCAAACCGTTCGTAACAATTTATCACTGGGACCATCCGCAATTGTTTCAAGACATGGGCGGTTGGGCAAGTGAGGCCATGGTTGATTTGTTCGGTGATTATGCTAGAGTTGTGTTCAAAGAATATGGTCATCGTGTCAAATTTTTCTTCACGATTAACGAGCCCGACGTGATATGCGAGACCGGTTATTACTTGGGAATCAAAGCCCCAGGTAAGTATGTTTAAGGCGTGGTAACGTAATTTCAGGTCCAGGTTAAATTGTTACCTTTTAGGACTGCAGTTGGGAAGGTACGGGCAGTACGTTTGTGCTCATAATTTGTTGAAAGCTCACGCTCGAGCTTATCACATTTACAACGAGGAATTCCGGGCTCAGCAAAAGGGAAAAATTGGAATTGTCATACACAGTCATTATTAC